AAATTTGAAACCCACCACTGCACTGCAGTATATCTCCACATTCCAGACACTTAGCCCCATATTCAAGAACCTGCTTCTCAAGAAAAAAGTTAAAGAACCAATATGCTAGATTAGTTTCTTTCTTGCAGGCTAAACTCAAGGTACCATGCATAAAGAAGATCTGCTTATGTCAGTAAGCTCTCAAAAGCCCATGTATCAGTGGTGAAATCCAAATTTTTTTACTACCGGTTCTATGGGCATGACTTGGTGGGCTGGCAGGGGAAGGATACTGCAAAATCCCCATTCCCACCCCACTCCAGGGGAAGTATACTGCAAAATCTCCATTCCCACCCCACTCTGGGGCCAGCCAGAGCAGTTTTCTGAACTGCTCAAAATTTCCACTACCTGTTCTCCAGACCCTGTCAGAACCTGCTGGATTTCACCCCTTCCATGTATAGGACTGTGAAGAAAGGGTTTTTGATTTTAAGGTATTTTTCTCATATCTTTCCAAGCTATTGAATATCTGGCAATTCTCTTCATATCCATGGGAGACAGTTATAGTGACCATGACTAATTTCCTCAGGCCTGGAAACCATTGGTTCCTGCCTCACCTGGCTCATTCCTGACAATAATTATGCAATGTTTGTTACATTGTATACTCAAGCAGATGTCAAAAAATACGTAATTGATTGCCATTTTATGAACTCTCTTTATTCCACACACCATGCATATTTATAAGGTAGCTTTAGTTTATCCATATAAAGCAGTCACTAACAGAGTATTACATTATCAAAGTATAGATTCAGTTTTTATTGGCAAGTTTTATTGCCCATAGAAATGCAGGCAGCAGCTAAAGCAGAAAAAAAATGAAATCTTTATGAATATAATAAAGATGTTTGATTGAACAAAAGGGATTGGCAAAATTCCGGAGATTGTGAATGTTAACATTGCCATTTCCATTTTAGCAGGAGAGCTTTTCCTGAGAAGGAAAAAAGTTGTGAAAGTTACTCAAATAATAGTACAAAAATGGACATAATTTCTCAAAATCATTCTGTAATTTTGCATGTCTAGACAATCTGTTCAGGAATGAATTCAGATGTCATTTTTTAAAGTAGACATAGCAAATTAGATCAGGGAAATATTGAATTCACAAAATTAATATTGAACAATTGTGTCTTTCAAAAATGGTTAAAAACATCCTATACTTTTCTTTGGATAATCTGGGGAGAAACTGATATAGCAAATATTGCTTTTGAGAAAAGAGCCATGCAATTTTAAGTTTTTTTCAGAATTACCCTTTTGTACAGTTTACCTTTCTGAGGCAAATTATCTTTCATTTTTTAACTTTTCAATTCAGATTAAAGGAAGTCTGTCCTTTAATCACATACAATGCTCTCAGAATTCCTGGAGGTCCTTATAAATAATAATATATTTCCCAGGTCAGAGGTACTGTTACCCACTTTGTGGGGTAAATGCCATCATCAAATTGGTCCCAAAATGGCCATGATATATTCATTCCAAAAATTAATCATGAGGCTGCTCAATTTGAGATTTGGGTATTTTAAAAATCCCAAATGTCTTTGTCATCTATTTTAATCTTGAAACCATGATTAAATTTGGAGACATAGAAGTGCCTTGGGGCTCATGAGTGGTGTTTCCATGAACCCTGATGTTACATTTGATTCACTGGGAGTATTTTATTATTCATGGAAAACATAAGAATTGGAAAGGACACTTCTGGTCATCAGAATTGAACCTGCTCAATGTATGATACACTATGACCATCCAGTCTCTGTTTGAAGATCTTCAGTGAAGGAGAACTCATCAACTCATGCTCCACTTGTTCAATGGACTAACAGCTTGTATAGTTGGAAAGTTCTTTCTGAGGTCCAACCTGAACCTGTTTCCTTGTAATTTTAATGGTTCTGGTCTTGCATTTTGCAGCAATAGATAATAAGTGTACTTCTGTGTGACAGTCTTTTAGATATTTGAAGATTGCTATCACACGTATCCTGAGCTTTCTGTTCTATATGCTAAGTGTGCCAAATTCTTTAACCATTCCTTGTAGGGACCATAAATCATAAGTAAATTCAAAGAGAAAATAGTTAACAATTAGAAGTATGTTCTTTATGTAAAGACATTGACATTATCTTACAGATAAAGTTTATCTAGTCACAACTGATGTTTTAAAATTGAGAAAAAAGCTTCTAACCAGGAAGAAGAGCTGGACTAATACAACTCACATTCTGTTTCTGGCTTGCATGAAGCATTGGGAATAGCTCTAAAGAAGGATTTGGGAAGGAAAAACAAAGGAGGAGATATGATGTCTTCTAAGGCTTTTCACTTTTCTTGCCACTGTGTCTGAATTAAATGCTCGTAAAGAACAATCAGACAAGTGAATATTCAGTGTTGTGTCCTCTCTTGCCAGGAACAATTGGATTATAAGAACAGACTAGACTGCCTTTGTAAATGGAGCAACAGGAAGAGGAATTGGGACAGTCTAGAACAGATTCCGTATAAATCCTAGGTTTTGGTAAGCGCCTGCATTTAAAATTCCCAAACAAAGAGGGTTGGAGTAGTATAGGAGAACCCCAGTCTAACCACTCAAACCAAGGCCTTTGAATAGGCTTTTACTGTAAATGAGAAGATGCATATGTATATGTCATGGAGAAAGTAGCTTTCCCCTTAATTTTAATTGATTTATGTTGCAAGCCTTGGACAACAAGGTTTTTTAATGTATAATGAAGTAATCCAATACAATATAGAAAGAATGGAGAAAGAATTAGAACCAAGATTTGTTTATGTTTTCATCAATTTATTTCCTGCCTTCCACATACATTAGTTTAGTATAATGAAGGCAGCTTAAAATAAAATGTTGTTTGTTTTTTAACTCACATTTTACAATATTAACATCTGTGTCCCTTTTAAAGATTTATAATTGTTATTTTTAAAAAATCTATCTAGCAACCATTAAAAAAAAGATTGGATTTAGCAAGTAAAACAGTAAATAAGGTATAGAACATTGCTACATATAAAATTACCGTAAGTTAGTTTAAATGTGCATATGTTTGCAAGCCTTGGAAAATAAAAGTAGTAATGAATAATATATTAACAGAACATCAAAGAAGTCACTCTGGGGAAATGATTTTCATAAGTTGGATACCATCACTTAAAAGTCTCTTTCCCAACATGGTAGTCATACATGCATCCCTCTTCTCAGACCTACTCACAGAAGAACTCCTAAAGAGGATTATAAAGTATATCTGGAATGAAGTAAAATTCAGATACTCCTTAAAGATCAACCGAGTACCTTGAATTAGATTAATAACTAATTACAGAAGGTTAACAACAGCAATTTAGATCAAAAGGGTAGGCATGCTCCAGGTCCCATCCCTTATGTCAGGGGTGTCAAAATCAAAGTTCCGGGGGCTGGACCCGGCCCACGGGGTGCTTACATCTGACCTGCAAGGCTGCCCTGGAAACAGCGAAGGACTGGCCCATGGTGCCTCTACCAGCAAAAACAGAGCTCAGAAGGGCCATGTGCAGAGGGTTGCAGGAAGCCATCACAGCTGAAAACAGATCTCACAGGGACCACCCGCAGCTCTCCCAAGCTCCGTTTTTGCTGGCAGAGGGTTGCAGGAGGCTGTTGCAGCTGAAAACAGAGCTCGTGAGCCCGTTTTCACTGGCAGAGTGCTTGGGCCACCACAGGCGCCCCCAAAATGAGTGACATCGAGCTGGCCATTTCCACCCTGGCCATGCCCACCCCACCCCACCCCCAGGTCAAACACAACCCTGATGCGGCCCTCAATGAAATTGAGTTTAACACCCCTGCCTTAAGTGCTGCCATCTTAAATGGAATCCAGGAAGCATGGCTTTCTGTAGTAGGATCTCCACAGTGAATCTACCTTCCCCCCTGGGATCTGACAACTCCACCACCCCACTTTTAGCCTTTCAGAAAGCTGTGAAGACTAAAAGTCGTGCATTTGGCAGAGATGGCAAAAATTTCAGCATATCTTAAAGACCATTCAAACGAAAGATACATAACGGAATGGAAAAGATGGATTGACTATATTCAAAACAAGTATCAGACTAAGAAGATTCATATAGCTTATGAGTGAAACATTTTTAACTTTTAGCTTATGTTTATAGTGTTTTGAGTTATAAGGAGTTAAAGACCTAGAAAGAATTTGAAGTCAACAATTTGTTAGCGTATTTTAGTTTTATGTTTGTGGATGCTATACCCTGTGCTTGTTCTGGGAAGTCAAGGGAGAGGGGTGGGGGGGAAGGCTGAGGGGGGATGGGTGGGAGGGCAAGGGGGGAGGGAAGGGCTGAGAGGGGAAGGGCGGGGGAGGAGAAAATGTTTGTATTTCTTATAAAACTTTTCAATTAAAAAAAAAAAAAGAAAGCTGTGAAGATCTGTCTTTCCCCCAAAGTCCCTAGTATAGGATACAAATTGTATGGATTGGCAAATTGGAGATGGTAGGTCAGCTGCCTGATTTTCTTGGTTTTCATGGTTTTGGTGTTTTTATTACTGTGAGCCATCCAGAGTTGTGTTTTACAAGATGGGCAGCTGTATAACTCTTTTAAATAAAAAAAAGTAAGGGAATTTGGAAAGGGAATTATGAAAAGAAAAGAGATGAACCAAAAAAGAAGTTCAAAGGAACATTTCTTTATATTGAAATATAGTATTAGTGAATTTGAATAGGCTTCACTCCTACAGAAAAGTAACGTCTTGTGAATGGCAGCCCTCAGCCAAGCCTGATGATTGGTGACATTGTCAGAAATTATCATGAGACACATAATCAGAGAGTCATCTATGTGTTGGAATCAAACTCCCAGAACCAGGTATGCAGAGAATTGCAATGTGGCATTTTGCAAGGGTCACATTGAAGAAACATTGAAGAAATTGTGATTCAGCACAAAATAGCAGCCCTCAAGTTACAATTTCCTACTATCTATACTTCTGTAATAATTTCTTGGTGTTCACTGGTTGTTGCTTGCTTGTTTGTTTGTTTTAACAGATACATGGCCATTATTGATCCTTTGAAGCCCAGGCTGTCTGCCACTGCCACAAAAGTAGTGATTGCAAGTATATGGATTCTAGCATTCCTCCTTGCATTTCCTCAGTGTCTCTTTGCTAAGACTCAAGTGGTGCCAGGACGAATTCTGTGCTATGTTTCCTGGCCAGGTGGTATGAAACAACGTTTTACGTAAGTCAATATTTTAAATAGTTGTGTATTTTTGCATGCTTCTTTTGCCCTCCAAAAGCCCAGAAATATGATACCTATCATAGCAGTTCAAACTAAAAATGACAGCTTGGGGAGAACTGAAAGTGTCCATCATTTTCATAGTTGCACTTCATTGTGATAGTAGTGGAAGAAGTATATTGCAAATCTCAGATGATGTGGAATAAGATATTTCCAAATAAGATTCTTAAATTAGCTTTTTCCCAACACAGAACCATGAAAACTTGGAGAAGTGGTACATGGCTTTGCTTTTTCCATCTGTGAAAACTCATATAGAGTACTGTATCACTTTAAATAGGAGTCATTGTAAAACTGGTAATGTAGCATATTACAGTTCATCAGATGCATGGAATATTGTGCTATAGAGGTGACTGCATTTGTGTGTGTGAATGGGTTATGTGGAGGGGAAAGGAGTATGGTGCCAGAATAGAGTATAGGATAGAATAGACGTTATTAACTAAGTAGTAGATATGACACAGACATGCTTGCATTGGTGAACTGGTTTGCATATTTTAACAAATCCATGTGTGAATCCATGAGACATTACATCTTTGAAATTCTTAATGCCACTTTTTTGTAACAAAATCAATATTTGTAATTATTTTCTTTAATGATAGCTATGTTGAAATCAATACTATCTGAAATGTTCCCCACTGATTTTGAACTATTGCAAGTTCTGATATTATATTCATGAGGAACGCTGGCTGTTTTTAAGAGCACAAATGACAGCATTTTTTTAAAAAAAGAAATGTTTTTGGTGTCAAGCTCATGTTCTTCTCTTCTAGGTATCATATCATTGTGATTGCATTAGTCTATTGTTTCCCGCTGCTCGTCATGGGCATCACTTATACAATTGTTGGAATCACCCTGTGGGGTGGAGAGATCCCAGGTGATACATCTGACAAATACCATGAGCAGTTGAAAGCTAAGAGAAAGGTACTGTAAAACTTCACCTTTTTTGTTTAGCAATTATTAATGGATTTTACAATATTTATAAGCTACCCCTATCTTCAGGCTGTAAGGGGTGTAAAAAATATTATTAAATCATTAAAAACAAGGTGATAAGATAAAGGATGGCTGTTCAAATTTTCATTCCTGGCCAAAAACTCACTGAAAAATAGGGAATGGGACAACTTGCTGCAGCCAACATACCTGGCCAACTCACCACGGCCAACTTGCCATGCCAACTTACCACAGGATAACTCGCTGCAGGACAATTTAACAATTCCATTTAATTATTTAAAATAAATAAAAATGATTTTAATTTTTGCCATTCACATTTCATTCTGTCTCTCCTTTTGCATCCTTTCTTTAAGGATTGTATTACACCATTTCTTTGATATTAGTGTAACTCTTGTCCCACACTGAGTTGTCCTGCAGCGAGTTGGCTGTGGCAAGTTGGCCATGGTGAGTTGGCCATGATGAGTTGGCCATGGTGAGTTGGCCATGATGAGTTGGCCATGATGAGTTGGCTATGATGAGTTGGCCATGATGAGTTAGCCATGATGAGTTAGCCATGATGAGTTAGCCATGGTGAGTTGGCCATGATGAGTTGGCCATGGTGAATTGTCATAGACGCACAACATAATGGTTTTACAGCATCTTCTGTAATGTCAGAAAGATGGGTACCATGTAGTTCTCCAATGGGAACATGTTCCACAATGTAGGATCAGCTGCAGAAAAGACATATCCTCTGATCCACACACTTCTTGCTTCATTTAAGGTTGGGAGTTTCAGCAAGCTCTTTCAGGGAACAGAATGGGCAGGAAGAGCCATATGCAGTAAGAAAGTTTGACTAGTAGCAACAATAATTTATGCATCTTCATAGCTTTTATTATTCAAAACCATTGGGTTTTTTTCCTCCATCTCGCTACACCACTTTTCATGCAAATAATAAAACTTGATTTAAGACAAATAGAATACTGTATTGACATTGCCTATGTTTCATTTCTTTATTGCCTCATTTATTTTCTGGCTGTCATGTTATGTAGTATCTTCACTTACTTTAATGAAGTTTTCAGGATTTAAGTTATACTGGTGGGCACTTAACGTATAAAAGTTTTTTAATGCACTTGGAATTGGAAATACCAGGTGATACACATTTTATGCAGTGTAACTGACTAATTTCATGTTGCATTCCAGTACAACTTTGTGTGATGATTTTCTGATTAAAGTCCTAAATCTCTAAGTTTTGTCTCATTTAATAGACCTTTCTGCTTTGAATGTGATAAACAGGAGTCTAGAGCTTGATGTTCTAAGAATGCCATAGGGTTCTCTTTTCTCCTCTTGGCTATAACCTATTATAATAAAAAATGTGTTCTTGGTATGTTTTAGTGGTTGCTGCTAGCAGAGGCAAGTAATGCAGTAAGATATTGTCATATCTTCCATTTTTATTTAGAATAGAACAGAACAGAACAGAACAGAATAGAATTCTTTATTGGCCAAGTGTGATTGGACACACAAGGAATTTGTCTTTGGTGCATATGCTCTCAATGTACATAAAAAGACAAGATACATTCATCAAGAATCATAAGGTACAACACTTAATGATAGTCATAGGGTACAAATAAGCAATCAGGAAACAATCAATGTCAATATAAATCATAAGGATACAAGTAACAAAGTTACAGTCATGCAGTCATAAGTGGGAGGAGATGGGTGACAGGAACAATGAGAAGACTAATAGTAATAGTAACGCAGCCTTATTGAATAGTTTGACAGTGTTGAGGGAATTATTTGTTTAGCAGAGTGATGGCATTTGGGAAAAAACTGTCCTCGTGTCTAGTTGTTCTGGTATACAGGGCTCTATAGCATCATTTTGAGGGTAGGAGTTTAAACAATTTATGTCCAGGATGTGAGAGGTCTGTAAATATTTTCACAGCCCTCTTTTTGACTCGTGCAGTATACAGGTCCTCAGTGGAAGGCAGGTTGGTAGTAATTGCTTTTTCTGCAGTTCTAATTATCCTCTGAAGTCTGTGTCTGTCTGGTTGGGTTGCAGACAGTTATAGAGGTGCAGATGACAGACTCAATAATTCTTCTGTAGAATTTACTACTTATTTTCCAAGAAAGGAAGATATAGTGTCTTACGCAGTGATGCGCTGAATCTGGCTCACACCAGCTCATTACAGCCAATTGTTAATTCTGCAATGTTGTGACCCAGCTGACAGCTGAGGTAATCTGAGGTGCACTAATCAGTGATAGAAATACAGGTGGCAAAACTGGTTTTTAAATATTTAGCAGCAAACGTTATGTTTTATGGGAAGTAATAATTTAGGCACCAAAAATGTGTGTATGTAGATTGTATCCATTCATAAATTTAAGAATTACTATTCATTTGAAACACATTGTCTTGCAACCAAGGAGAAGACTAGCTAGATGACCTTCCCCTGATTGATTATGTGCTATCAAGTCATTTTCTATTCCTAGTGATCACTTAGGTAAATTTTCTTCATGACAATCTGTCCCTAACCTGGTCTTTACATTTTCCAACAGTATAACTGAATCTATCCACCTTTTTTAAAAAACAAATTTTATTGATTTTTTTCTTTCACATATATATTTTATGAACAGAGTATTGACCGAATCATATCTTATACAACTTATCATATCCAAATACAGTTTACATAATTTCAATTTCTGCCAAAATATTCTTTTCCCCTACTTTTTTATCTTGTCTTAATACTTCTATACTTATTATATAAACAGTATCACCATCCACCCTCAAATCCTAATTTCTTAACATTATTTCAATTAGTTATCATCTTAATGAATCTATCTACCTTGATGCCAGTTGTTATCTTTGACTTCTCCTTCCTTCCACCTTTCCCAGTTTGAGAACTTTTTCCTGAAAGCTAGGTCCTTGTATAATATGTCAGAAGTAGGATAATGTGAGCCTTGACTGACAACTCTAGGTAGATTTCTTCTGTGATCCTTTAGCTTGTTTTCTTGGCTGTCAGTGGCATTCTTGGGAGTCCTCTTTAGGGACAACTTTAGAATCTCTTTATCATTAAATTGTATTTGGATGGGGATGTTTATAACCTTTGCGGTTTTGAATTGCAGCTATCAGAGCCTCACCATTGACCATGCTAGGTGGAGTTAATAGAGGTCATAGTTCAATATATGGAGGGTGCCAGATTCGGTACTCTTCAAAACAAGATGCTGCAAATGGAAGATTCTTCTCTAGTGAACCTGCCAATAGAGTCTGTCCTTTGTAAAGGCAGATGCATGACTACACTGACATTAAATCATCCACTAAAGCATCTAGTTCTACTCCAAGTCACTATTTTCCAATACAGATAGCATTAAACCGTGACCATGCAGAGTAATATTGATCTGTCTTTTCATTTTGTCAATAAAGAACAAGTTTATACAGAGAGAGCTAACACGTTTAATCAATCCAAAATTGTAAATCCAGGATGGCACTGTCTTTCCATTGTAAAATCCTATTTATTTGAAGCCTTGCAAGTAGCTGATAATAATCTGTTATTGTTTATTGTTTATTATCTATTATTAAATAGTCTTTAATAATCTGTTTTAAAAATGCATTTCAATATTGAGAGCAATTCAAGAATTTTAGATGTCCCTAACGATAATAAAATATTCTACCAGCACACTGTTGTGGGCAATCCAAATTTCTACTGCAAATATTTAAATATTTGATCAATAACATTTGATCAGTAATGAAGAGCTCTAAAGTGTGAGTTCCTCAAAATATGCATGAATCATATGAATAGGGATCAAAGGACTAAAAAATTTTTACTACGTTACCTTTTTTCCCATTTGTTTATTAATTTTCTTTTTCTCCTTTGTTTCTTTTTGTTTCTATGATGAAGAGATTTTTTTTTAATGTCCCAATTATGCTTAAAATGAATTCATATTCAGTTACTACTACTTTAATAAAGCAGGATCTTGGGCTGTAGCCCTCTCCACTGTTCTGACTCTGGCTTTGCTATAGATTTTTAAATGCTCTGAACAAAATGAACAAGTCCCATTTATCAGTTTGTTTTTGTCGATGGCTTTAACGGCATCTTGTTTCTTCTTGACTGGATACGCATATGGTCTTTTGCATAATGTGTGGGATGAAACATTTGGGTGATAAGTTTCCCCATTTTCATTAGAGAAACATTGTCAATTTCAAAAGCACAGCTAGCACTTTTCTGTCTCAACATGCATTTGATGACTGATTGGAGAACAGCAGTTTTGGAAAGAAGCAATAAATGTACAGTGCCTACAATTTCTCTGGATCTGAGCTTTATAAAAATACCCCCAAAAAAATCACCTTAAGCGATCAAAATGGAAAACTTTTGATTTTCTAGTTATTTTGCCTAGTACCTGGAAAGGAATGGTGGCCCAATGAGGTTTTGGGAGGTTGGTGAATGGTTTATGGTGGGAAATGGCCCTCCTATTCTCCTTCAACTTAATGTGGGTAAAACAGCCTAATACAGTATTTCTCAACCTTGGCAACTTGAAGATGGGGTGGCCTTCAACTTCCAGAATTCTGGAAGTTGAAGGCCACCCATTTTCAAGTTGCCAAGGTTGAGAAACATTGATATAAGAGAATTGGGACTGCAGAAGACAGTGGACCCATGAAAATCACTTAATAATGGGAACTCAAGAAGGATATGCATAATAGAATCTTCAACTGGAATCTTCAACTGGAGAAAATTAAGGAGGCATATCTATTTTTGTTAATGCTTTTCAGGTAGCATTACCTTGACAATTTGTTAATTTATTATCTAGATTAACTTTTCTATTTGGGAATAACTAACAAAACTAAACAGAGTTAAATATACAGAGACAGGCCAAAGCTAAAAATCGAGAGACCATGAGTTCATATCCCCCTCTTAGGCACAAAGCTAGCTGGATGGTCTTGGGCCAGTACCTCTCGTAGCCCTACAGTATGAATGGAAAATAATTTATAAAATCTTTCCAGGAAA